TAGAGGGGAATTTAATTTATATAATGGGAAGCCATTTCCGAGAAAAACGATTCGTTGCGAAGAATCTGTTGTACGTCATACATGTACATTCCCCCGTTTTTCCTACGTTTTTTTTAAAAAGCACCTAAATAATAATTGAAAAAACAAAAATGCTAATTGAGTTTAAAAGTTCCCCCTCTAACGACATTTTCTTATTAAATACAATTTTCTATCACTACAAAAACAATTAACACAAAGTAATTTTTTTTTATAATACAAGCAAATTCATTTGAAACAAAATCCTTTTGTTAATCATTTGTGCAGTGTTAGGAAAATGTATTTAATAACTTAGGGCAATTAAAGGGGAAGGAGATTTTTAAACCTTTCTTTAACTTTTGCTTTCTAAGTGCTTTTTTGTGGATTTAATGTGCAATATGTTTCCGAGCTCTAGATTACTATCATAATAATATTCGTAAACGTATGTTGTAATAACATTTACTTATGTATCTATCTACCTACTAATATTTCTTTTTCCACGGGCCCTCTGTAGTTATGTACCTTCTCCACAACCATATCATATCACCGTGATAATAATAATAATTCGCGACTTTTTAGGCGGCGTTAGACAATAGTAATATATTATTGTTTTACGCTGCAAAACACCACGGTGTGCGTGCAGGACAAACTATTTTAATCGATAAACTTTGATTACGTATATGATTTCGGGGAGGTCGAACCTATACCCTACACAGATACGTGTATAATATCGAGAACGACCGGCTTTTTATGTAATATGTAAAATTATGATATGCATACTACCTTGGTGTCTCTGTGTGTGTGTGTGTGTGTGTGTGTGTATGTGTGCTCGTTTGTGTGGGCGCACGACGATTGTCGATATGTAATAAATATACGTGCGCATACTATACGAATGGAAAGGACACAATCAAATAATAATATTTGATTATGTCGATTAAGTCTGCAATATATGATAGTATACGTATATGGTAATAGGATTCGCCGCGAGAAAAATCCGAAAATCGACGAGTGAACAACGCGGAACGGAACACGTTTCGACCGTATTTCAAAGGTTTTTTAGATTTTTACGGATTCGTAATATTCCGTAATCAATAAATATGGTGGTAAAATTGTAAACAAATTTATTCGGTTTTTGAGCTATCGTTTATAAGCATTTGACATTGTCGAGTTTTTTTTTCACTCTTCTTTCGGTAGGTATTGCATGGATAAAATTATCTGATCAAACAAAAAATACTCGAAAACTTAGCGCAATGCTCGTAATAAGTTGTACTTGGTGCTAAAAAAAAAAAATACGATCGTATACAATATATGATTTATTTCAGTTATCACGATTCATTGAGTATTAAAAAAAAGGCCTAGAAGTAACTTGATAAATAAATAGGTAAAAAAAACCGTTTGTCCTATTAAAAAAAAAAAAAAAAAAAACGTAAAATAAATAAGTGGCGTGATCCGATAGTGGTTGGTGGGGTGGTGTGAAAACGTACATTATACCTTTATCTACTCTCTCTCTTTTTCTTTTTTAATTTTTAAGTAATTTTTTTCGGGTGACGATAAACGGCGAACAGAAGTGTACTTTTAGTGAGCACGGTAGCAACGGGGCAAAAGGAATCCTATGGCCCCGTTACGCGAAGTATATTTCGCGTTCTTCGTGGCAAGTTTGGCATCGATCGTTCAAATAATTCTTTTAATATAATCGTGTACGACATTCGGACGTTCGATGTAACACGTATAATTTCTTTTCATTTGTCTACAATTTTCTCAAAAATGGTGATAAACGGTTAAAAGTAAATGCAAACAAAAAAGAACCATATCCGAATTTTCGATAGTCCGCTTCGATAATAATTATGACAAACCAAAATACGCTCGAATAGCTGCATAAAATATTGCCTATAGGTATAAAATAGTGTTCAAATAACGATAAAATATCGAAAAGAAAATGCACGAATAAATGCCTCAAATGCTAAATGCTTTCCTAAAACAATACAACTTACATCAAACAATATGTATAACCGAAGTACTTTCATACTCGTATTTGGTTGGCAATGGTTTATCGCTGTTCGCGGATATAAATTAAATAACTTTATGTGTCGTGAATTTTCACTAATATTCTATATGTCAGCGCTAAGAAAACTACAATATAATAATATTATGTCACGATTCATGCGCGTGCCACGTAAATCCCGAAGAAAACCTCGTAACATATATCGCCGATAACGTAGAAACGAAGAAAGGATGTTTTTTTTTTTTTTTTTTTTTAGGTTCGATAAATTGGCGAATGACCTGTTCCTTAAAACGATTTGTCGTTTGGCACCAAAACAATGTACGGAACGGTGGAAATAAATTAGAGATCGCTGCAGCAGAACCCCTTGCCGTTTCGCGCCACTTTAAGCCCTGATTATAATAATAATTATAATTCATAACCACACCGAATTTATATCTCGTTATACGCCCGTTCCCGTGATTATACATTAATATATACGTTCTTAATAATTGCGCCCTCGTCATTAATAATATAATATTCCCATCGAATAGATTACAATATACAAGTCCGCGCAATAATTACACGGCGTATTATTATTACGGTAACGGATTACGCGCCGTACAACGCGTAGGTATACTTTGAAAAAGTTTAATTGGCTGTGTTATACGAGGATAGTATAACTATACGCAAACATATTACGTGTATATATAAACCGACTGTAGTAAAACCCCGTAGTCACGGTCACGTATGGGTACATAAACCGCCCGCCCTATTTCTACTCGATTAGTCAAAAGTCAGTGCTGCGACCGCGAGACGTTAAAAACTGGGAGGGGGGGGGCTGAGGGGAAATTGATAAAACAGCATATTATTACACACTTAACTATTGTATCGCTGGTGCGGTAACAGTCTTCTGTATAAGTCCGACACGCGTACGCTACCGCAACGTGTATCCGATTACATTTTCCTCGTTCGCTTATTATTATTATTATTATCGTTATTGTGACTACAATAACTATAAAATCTCGATGACGCAAAATGTATACGATTTCGTTTATTACAGCGGCGTATCCGAGATTTCGAATTTAGGGAGGGTCCGAATACGTGTTCGGTTGAATCGCGGGCGTAGGTAATAAAGTATTTGCCGTGGTTCGGTTCCTCCCCTCTAAAAAAAAAAAAAAAAAATTAAAAATGTGTTTTCGTCAATGAAATGGCGATCATATAATTGGCGCCCAATATCAGGTGAAGTACCTCATCGAACATTTAATTGGCTAACAATGCAATAGCTATGGCTCCCCACTTCCTTGTCAACGCCGCGCGCCGTTGTTATAATATACAATAGATATATTATAGGACACGCGCGATTACGTGTGGAGTCTCAGACACATGATATTTTTTCGTGTAAAACATAATATCGTAATGATATTTCAGTCGCATTGTAATAATACACTCGGTGTTTATATAATAGTGAAATTTGTAACGCAGGATCAAATGCAAAACGAGCGGTTTATGGAGTACAATATTATGTTTGTTTTTACCCGCGACAAAATAGCCTTCTTAAATACAGTAGCGCAACGGTATTATAACTCTCGTAATAAGCTGATAATGAAAAATAATCGAGATCGCAGCAGAAGGTTAAGGAAGTTGAATACTGCAATGTATATAATAAATATACGTAGGTAAGTTTAATAATACATAATACGTTACTTTTGTTTGTTTTAAATTTTAATTTAATTTTCAGACACACGGCGAAGTTTAAAGGTTTAAACTCGTGCGCATAACCGTATTGCGTGTACAGTGTTGTAATTATAATATTAATATTCCAAACGATATTGTTATTACTGTATCAGTATTATAATAATAGGTACTATTTGATCCAATGGTTGAAAATCTGCGATTACTGTATTAATTTTAAGTATAAAAATTAGGGTTAAAAATGTGGCAATACCTCTCTAACTTATACGATTTCACAACGATTGAAAGAAAATACACAGAAAATAATATCCACATAAAATCATTGGAGAAAATCGCTAATTCATGAACGGACCGGCCATGAATATTATGTACGTTTTTGAGACGCAGAATAAAATAAATATTTTATTAAATATGTTATATATAATATCGAAATGAAAAAGAAAAACCTCCTAGCGTAACTAGTATTAAATTAGTATAAACAATTCGAGTTTCATTTTGACGTGCGATATGAACAACCGTGAAAAAATATACCACAATTTTACCTATCAAAATAAATAATTTTTCAAATAAAAGCGTTTAAATATTTGATTTTTTTGAAAAACTATTTATTTTAAAACTAAAATGTGAAATTTCTGACAGGTTAAACTCTATTTGAAAAAAATACGTCTAGATTCTCAACAAATTTTCTAAAAACTAAAAAAAAAAAAAAAACTCTTAACATATATCGACACGTCGGTTTTATTTTTTTTTCTGAGTTACCTCGGCTACAAGAACAAAAAAACGCGACTTACGCTATTCCGATATTATACTCTACACAGAATAGCTTTTCCGTTGCGTTTACGCAGTATATTATGAACTGAACCGTCCTGTATACGTTTTTTCTTCTCCGCGAATAGCGTCGGCTTTTTGCGAATTAATTTCGAGGTTTTTTTTTATAAAACGTTTAGTTTACAACAATTATTGGTGGAAACCGAAGATCGAAACATTGGAAAAAGCACCCCCCGCCCCGGCCGATCTGGCGCGGGTACAGGCTGGATTCAAATCTTATCGATTGGGCGAAAAATCGATCCGAATTATTGTAACCGCGTGCCGCTTCGTGCCCCGTATTAACAATGCGTTAAGAAGACGTACCGTTTCAAATGCCGTTAAACGTATAGTCGTTTCGGTACGATTTAAAAAGAAAAAGAAAAAAAAAATTACGTTATTATATTATTATTATTATTATTATTGTTTATTAGATATTTATTGTGTAATATAAAGCGGACAAAGGTCACGTTAAAATGCTATCGCATGACATTTGGACGGACGCGGGGGGTAATCGTTAAGAGGCGTCACCCGCGAGGCGGTAGTATCAGTTCGCCGTGTATACTTTCGGGGAGTTTTTTTTTTTTTTTTTTTTCATTGTCGTCGTCGTATCGCAAGGCACGCGCGCGCGTCATTTTCTCTCCCCTCTCCCCCTGACCCCCTCCATTTTCGCGTAGCGGTTACTCGTGAATTTCACGCTATATAACTATAGGTCTACACAATACGCTGTTTTTTTTTTTTTTTTTTTTTATAGTAATAAAATAACAATAATCGTCGTGGCGAACGACCTCTATATAGTTTAATTCGTATAGGTACGACGTCGCTCCATTATACAAGGCGATACTCTTCGCACCTTCGAAGATTTGTATTTGTTTTTTTGTTCAATCATTATTATTATATATTACTTGTATAATCATTTCGACGATTTCACAATAAGTTTTGACCATTTTACTCTTATTCGATTTTCAAATGAAAACTGCCTCGTTTTTTTTTTGTTTTAAATTACATTATACAACTTCATTATAGTCATATCATAGTCTACACCATAAGTCTGATCTATTTCATGGTTCGCTGATGTTCGTCCCCTGATCATATAAGCAAGAATAGCGCTTTTAACTATTTTTTTTTTTTTTTTTTTTTTTTTTTTTTTGTTAATCACGAAAGCATTGTAAAAAACGACTCGAGTCTTTTGAGCGAAATTGCGTGAACGANTGACCCCCTCCATTTTCGCGTAGCGGTTACTCGTGAATTTCACGCTATATAACTATAGGTCTACACAATACGCTGTTTTTTTTTTTTTTTTTTTTTTAATCACGAAAGCATTGTAAAAAACGACTCGAGTCTTTTGAGCGAAATTGCGTGAACGAAAATATTTCGAGTATAAACACTGCCTCGGCTTATTTTTAACGGCACTCCTCCACCCTAGAGAGCCCTTTTCGTAAAATTAACCGCGTGGGATTTCGGAATGGCCGACGATGGGATAATTATTATTATACCGCGACGAAAGCGAAGGGTTGTTACTGCACTTACAAGTTAATTGTTTTAAATATTCAATAGCGTATATGACGCCACCCCCATCAGGACTACTTATAATTTATAAAATTTTACGACCGAGGACGTTATTTCGGTATATACACTGGTAAATTGTTTTAAAGATCGGCGCGAATTTCGACGGTTAAAATATTAAAAACGTGCGTGGAAAACATGGGTACGGTAGCCGTGAGACGATATATCTCGAATGTATATAGTTGCTTTTAAGTTGATCAACTCGTATTACCACCACGTAGAAGGAAATAATTATTGAAGTTTCATCGTGAAAATTGCTTTTTCGATCTTTAAAATCTCTCCGATTGTTAGGGCGTTATTGTTCAGGAGTTTTTTTTGGGGGGTTTAAATGGGCACGTAGTCCATGAAATCCATTGGTCACCTAGTAGAATAATATTTTGTTTACCGTGTGTCCACAAGAATATAAATAGTACAAAATTTGATTAATAGTTATTTTAACAAAACCATTTAGTTTCCAGGAAATACTCTCAGTATAGATAGGAAAAATCCTAAGGTTTAAAGAAATACCTGCAAATGGAGCTCTGTTTAAGTAAGGGAAGTAGATACGCAGTAGATATTCGCTAAAAATTGCCCCACCGATCGTGGATTAAAAGAAGTAATATCATTTTCTTGCGGTTCATATTGCGGGCGAGACACTCAAATACAAAAAACAAAAAAAAAAAGTTTTTCGAAATTCATAAATATCGGTGGCGTCTCTGCGCCACAGTTACGTATATAGGGTTGTATACTTATAATGTAAAGAACCGGCCTAAGCCCCAAGACATATTTTCTGCGCCAAAACTAGAAGTTTTTATTCAAACTTTTTAATTTACCCGGGGCCCTGCATAATAATGTAGTAATATTTCCGGGATCCGAAGAGGGTTTCAAAGAGTTCAAAAAGTCATTTTTTTTTTTTTTTTTTTTTTACAAAAGTCAATGTGCTATACACAAAGTTTAGGGCCAACCACTGAGGGAGACGGGACTAAATAATAATAATATGCGAAAACCTTCTGCAGTTATATAATAATATAAAACTCGGCAACATCGTAAACCGTCAACGCAAACATAATAATAATATTATCGTTATTATTATAAAAAAAAAAAAAAAAAAACGGAGAAAACGATACGAAATATAATATGAGCAATGTTATAAGTGTATGGTGTGCTATGTATTTTTTATGGAATAAAAATAAAATTATAATCTCGTTATACGACGATGACGAATAATATCTTGTCAATAGGCCGGCTTATATGATAATAATATTATATTACACCTGATATATAGGTAGAGCATACTATAATACAGGGTGATTCTTTTGTCGTGAACCAGGTATTATTTAATGATATTATTACAAATATAACGAATATTTCGAATAAATCTGATTTCGGGTCTTATTGTTTTTAATCATTAGGTTATAAATTATACAGGGCAATGGACATACCGTGAGACACAATAATTATTTTGGAAAGTACTCTCTTTTCTACCGGAAAATTTGCTCCGATTTTCGAGTATAGCACTTTTTTCTGAAAGGAAATCCGATTGGGGTGGTACTTTGCCGAGGTCATTTTTTGATTTTCTCGGTTGTGTTCATAAACTACTTTTTGGAAAGTGATACCGTGTGGGTCGCAATAGGTTTTCGTGGGAAAATTCGGGTTACGGTTCCAAAAATATCGAGAACCACCACTGGTCTATGGTAGTTATTAGTCATTTCTACCGTCGACGGTATATGAAAAATGTCGATCGTTATATTGTGCCGTCGACAACGGGAGTGATTTGTATACGATAAAAATTGCTATGCCGGTCGTTTTCTTGGGCACGCGCCTGATCCGGTCCGTATACAAACGGTGGGGGCGAAATTTCCCCCGGCGCGATTATTATCGACCCCCCCCCGATATTTCCCGCCGCAGTGAAATATCGCCGGCGGCAGGCGGGTCGGTACTTCGCGCCGGCCCGGAAAAATCACCCTGTGTCGCATAGAAGCAATATTTCACGTATTATCGCCGACCTAATAATAATAATAATAATAATAATAGTAATAATAATGATAATACGACGGTAGAACAGTTTACCCGCGCGTAAATACGACACGGTATAATAATACCCCGTTAACACGACCGTTCCAATAAGCGTCAAAAGGATCGGCGTCGCCGTTGACAATGATAATAAATATCGGGGCGGCGGCGGCGGCGGCGGCGGCGGTCGGTTTTAATTGCCGTCACGGAGAATAAGTAACGGGAAAGTCGACGAGTCGACGGGACTGCCGCCGCCCGTGTACGGTATGATTTAACGTTATTAACGTTGCTAATATTATTACTGTTGCAGGATGGTATTATTGTGTCGCGGGCCGTGTCGCGTTTCGTAAGTGTGTAGTGTTTTCCGTATCGTCATCGTTATTGATAACGACGAAACGGGACGGGAAAACGCGTTGAAAAAAAAAAAATGAATAAATAACTATCGGAACAATGACGACGCGCGCCGATAGCGATAATCGTTTGGTCATTTCCGCGATAACGCGGGGAAAGACGGCCGCCCCCGTTGCCGCGCGGGTGTCGCGATATTGTTGTTTGTCGCGTCGGCGGCGGCGGCGGCGGCGGCGGCGGGGCTGCGGCGCAATACGGTCTGCAATGCGCCACACACGCACGCTCGCGTGTCGCGCGCGCCGGCCGCCGCGCCGCAGCCCGGAAACGGTTCTGGAGACGCGCGCGGGCGCCGCGTCGTCGTCGTCTCCGTCGCGGGCGCGGACTTGTAACGCGTCTGTGCGTTCGCCCCGAGGACCGGGAGGCGTGGTCGGGTTAGGCGCGGATCGAGAGAGACGGGCCGACGCGTATAGCCCGGCGTGCGCGCGCGAGAGAGGGCGAATTCGCGTCGAATGTTCCGTCTAGACGTATATATTACGAGTTGCGGGCCCGCGAACGTACTCTATACGAGACGACGTCACCCGCGGGTGGGCGGGGGGGATGACGAATCGTCAAGGGTCGAAAATAACACGAGATAATATTATCGGATTTTGAGCGACGGTGGTAGGCGGGGGTTGGGGGGGGGTCGATCATTGTTTCTGACGCGTAATACGTTTCGTATTCTCCGTCTCGGACCTGAATTGCCGTTCGGAGACGTATTTGGCGAGGGGCGGTACCGTAACTATAGTTTTTTATTTTTCCGGAATTTATATAGGTATAGATGAATTTTAACGGTGGGAGAGGGATAAAAGTCGATTTGAAAAACCCGGGAATAGAAATCCGGACACGAGTCGTTCGTGATATAAAGACAGGAGCAGGATCGCAAAAAATATAAAAAACATTTTTTTTTTTTTTTTATTACAGTTATAGACACCTTATATTATACAGTAGATATTATGCTTGTAAATTTATTCATTCGAAAGGGAATAGGTATTTGAATATTTTCGAGTGTCGAGTGGATAAATTCGATAAAACTGTATACGTATACTTTAAACGTGCGACGGTTCTTTTTTATTTTAAATTATTATTGCTACGATCTAGGCAAAAAAATAAAAAGGCTGACACTACCGGTGGGTGTGCCACTGTTTCGGGAAGGAAGTGGAAGGGAAAGGTATACAGAGTAATTGAATTTACATCCGTACGCAACGATAAATCATTGCTAATGAAAAACAATTTGAGCAGAGTATTACTGTGACTTGTATTTGTCCCCTTGTTGTCAAGGTAACCCGGAAATCAACAAAAATTATACAAAACTAATGACTGGTTTTCACCGTTCAATAAGGAAACTAAAAGGAAAATCAAAAATTAACTTTTTTTGTTGGTTGGCACCAACCACATTAAAAACGGTACAGGAAAGTTTTAATATAATTTTTGATTGGAGTAATAATTATAGATATCCGGTAGTTGCAGACACAAAAAAAATAACACACATCACAGTAAAACCAATGCGTTCTTCGTTTTATTTAGAATTTTTTAAAAAAAAAAAACCATTGACGTACAAAACGGCAGTCGGTTTCTATAAATTCGTATTATTATAACAACAATCCTGAATTATACCGTTCGCATAAATGCCGTTAGCCTTAAAATTATTATCATTCCTTTTAACTCGATGCCAATAACTTTTAACGTTGCAATAACATTAATATTATTATACGTTTTGATTTTCCTATTAACGTTTACACTGTACACAGATAATATTTATTCAATGTGCAAACTACTTCCGTTCAACGGTAAAACGAAAATAATTTACCTACGTCGAAAAAAAAAACAAACGAACATTTCGGGTACCTGCGTGTTATAATATTGTCGATTTCGTGGCATAACCTCGTAAGTAAAAAAAAATTAATTATTATTATTTGGTTTTCAATGGACACCGCACTATTCCACACATTTTTATATCGGTGCTATTAATGTTTCACCGGTTTATCATAAGATATACACAAAATAAAGTGTAGACTAAACAGTTAGTATCGGTAAAACATTTAAAACCTCGTAAACATAGACGGATATATGATACCTCTCTGGGTGGAATAGAACTAAAATAACCCTTGCTCTTAAATTAGGTTTATATAAAATCCCCAGGGAAAGTTTACGACGTTGTATGGGGACCAAATCCCTCTGCCACCCCCCTGTGCTCTTAAGACTGTCGGAGCCGCCGTATATTTTGTACAAAAACATGCCTCGTGAGGAAAACTCTCACGTCTCGTAAAATAGCTAGACTTTATCAATTTTGTTTTTTATAATATGAAAGAAAAAAAGTATTTTTCAGTCAAATTTAACTCGGATTCATAGAAATTGCGTTAAGCGTATCCGAAATTTTTATTTTTAAAAAAATATTCGGTGGAGAATAATATTTTTATTTAAATGCATCCTTCCAGTTGCATACCTTATTTTTCTTTTCTCTCATTACCAAAGTATGATAATAATTAACTTAATAACGATATTATACTAAAAGGGATTTAAATATAATAGCATCATTATAATAATAATATTGATTTAAAAATATAATTAAAACGGTTAGTTTGAAAAAAAAACTATTATAATTCATAATTAATATTCATTATTCATTTTTTTTTTTTAATACACCGCACGTTTAATTAAATCATTTAATCAAGAACGTCGTCTTTCATCTGTGTAGGTAGTAATATTGTTTTTATAATAAGTGAAAACTAATCCGACTTTCTTATGCCTAACAATTTCCGCGAGATAATAATCGTAAATATTATAATATTATATTATAAACCTACTATCTGCCCAACGACGACCCGCGCAGCAGAGTCGAAAATACATTAATATTTTCGTCTGTGTTAGCCAATGAAATATTACAAAATTCGTTTCAGTTATTATTTTATTTTTGTTTTTATTCATATTTTAAACCGGCGCGTGTAATTTATTAATTTCAAAAGATGTCTACTGAAATCAACATAATTATTTAATATCAGCTGTACGATTAATCATTATTATCGATAAAGTCAGCCGTTTTATATTAATAATTCGACACGAACGTCTATCAAAAACACTATAACCGAATGAGCTGACGTTGAACGATGTTTGGGAAGAGGAAGACCATACGGGATAGAGTAGGTACGAGCTATGAGCAGTGTACAGTGTTGTGTTTCGTCTAGAAAATGATACGTGTTCAGATCAGTTATCTAGACAGGTATATTTTATGTCTTTTATCTTATCTTATGAGAAATAAGTTATCGGAGATAAATAATAATTGAATCGTCCGGATACGTAAATGTTTTTAAATCGTAATTCACCAATATATTTACTAGAAATACAAGGTGAACAGCATTTAATTTGTATAAATATACAGTTGCATAAGTTATTAAGTTACATCGAACAATGTTTGTATCTAAACGTACATACTTTTAGCGCTCTTAGCAGTATCCGTAATCGCATCTGGAATCTGGATAAATGTAATTGGGTACACCCGGTGCACATCATCACTACCTATGGCTGAATGCGGGCTCAAATAATGAAGGACACGAATAGCGGGAAAATATACAAGGATCGGAATGAATCTAAATAGCTACAACGGAGAACAGACAGCCGCAACACTAATCTAATAATAACCGACAGTGAGAAAAAGAAGTATTTAGAATCAGAAATTTAGGATTTTGAAACACGAAAATCAAATAAAATATTAATACGTACCGTATATACCTAAGACACGGGCAGGTAGGTTTTTATCTTAAGATTTCTTCGGTCGTATTTCCATCAGACGATGAAACATATTACAATAAGGATGGCGTGCCGATACATGTCGGTAATATATCAGGAGGGCGTTTCATGTACACTACCGTTTCAAATATTTGAAGAAAACAAAAACACGCGTTCCACGGGTCGTAAAGATTTATCGTTTTATTCGCGTGCTGGCGCTACCCGCTGCAACCCTCTTCCCACTTCTCCCAGAATCACACAGTCATTCTGCAGATATTTCGTCAAACCTTTAACACCGTATACGCAATAATTATTATATAATAATCATCACGATGATCTGACAAAATACGACGTGTTAACTTTTGACCTGGACGATATTTTATAACATTTCTTTTTTTTTTCCATTCCGAGTATAACGAAGGAGTTATTGTAGTTTTACAATGATGTGGGTTTATTCCTGATCTCGAGAAACACTTTAACAGTAATCAGTATAAAAATACACTGATTTTTTTACGTCCTATCTCAAAAGATGCGGCTTTTTCACTGCCGATGACGCTCTAATGAAAAATATTTCGTGATTCCCATTACTATATTTCGAATTTCTAAAAAAAATGTACTTTATTTTATTTTTTATTATTTTTAAGTAAAAATGCTCCGATATATGTTACTGTCACAGAGTATTTTAAAAGATGCGCAATTTCCCGGCAGTGGGTATTTTATTTAAAAAAATATATCGACATTTACAACAGTTTAACCCCAAAGTCCTTTTTATATTTAGTATATTTGATTTTTGTTGATTTCTTTATCAAACAAGTGAAAAATCGTGTTTTCTACTACTAATCCACTCTTAGATTCTTTTTCGCTTGCGATAACTTATCGTTGCATACGGCATATAAACTGCATTACCCTATACATCTTACCATCGATGGCCTACCAATGTTGCGATTTATGTCCAGCTTTTATGATTTATATGCAAAACGATTCATTAAAGTATGCTCGCCTCACTTTTATTGTTAAATTTTGATTTTTTGAAATTTTTAAGCTTAGTTAACGACGATATTTTCAATTACTTCGATTTTTCATAACATTTGGAGAGCACCCTGTGGCGATACCAACCTTGTTTATCAAACGAGAACTTACATTGTTTAGTGCAAAGTGTAAATAGGATAATTTTTCGGAAAATTTTGACGTGTTAAAATTTTAAATTTGAACAAAATATGTCTGAGTTATACTACTTTAAAATTCTAAGGATAACAACCTAAAACGCGTCATTTGAGTGGCGGTACGGCAAGCGGCGCTTTCATAATGCTTTACTACTTTCCCCTAAACAAATTTAAAAATCGAAATGCATTTAAACTAATACTCTATCGTTTTATGAGATTTTTAATATAGGTTCACGCTTAAAAAACAGAAATCGGTAGGTATCACCACAAAATACTCCTTAAATGCTGTGAAAAATCCAAGTTGGTATTCGAAAATATCAGCTTTACTATAACATTTAACTATGAAATTGGGGCGAGCATAATTAATAAATCACTCTGTGCATTACGAAAAGTTATAATTATTTTTATAGTGTTATTTTTGCAGTATTGTTATTTTATAAACTTTTTTCTTCGTTTTTTTCGGTAAAAATGTATAAAAAATGTATGATTTGCGTCGTATATTATTGAAACAGTTAAGGTAATAACGTAAAAAAAAAAAAAAAAAATGACAACATTAGTAACGGAAAAACTGTAAATTCCTAATATCATTTCTGTTCGGCCAAAACAATAACTGTACTGAAAAAATCCAAATGAAATTTAAAATGGCTACAACAAACAGCTCGACGAATCGCCAGAATATTTTGAACCTTTTACCGCGTCATAGAAACGGCTACGAACATTTCGGGTTTCTATACGATTTATTCCCACTGAATTACTACTTACCACAGAAAAAAAAAAAAAAAAACGAAATTCAAAACTACGGAAACCGCCATCGCGTAAATTTACATTTCCCCGTTGTTATGGAAACTATACGGAAAACGAAAACAATAATAACCTCCGAAAACGCGCCGGCCGGATCCGGAAGACTACGAAAAGCTCGCTTGTCGGTTTTTCGATCAGAGCAATGGATTCGCACGGTCGGTCGGCGGAAAACGGATTCGGGAAAAATAAAGCTTCATTATAATATTACCGTCGTATAATATAGCGCATAGTATTTATAATCAGCGCCCAGATTTCAATGCAAAATGCATATATTTTTTTTTATTGATATTAGACCATGCTCTCCAAGGAAATAATTGCATTCGTGTAACAGAGACACTTTAAAGGTGAAACTTTTTTTCGTTTTTAACATTTTATTGCATATCTGTATAACATTATTTAGTTTTTGTACGTAATACGACTATCTATCGTGTATACATATATATATATATACCTGAAAAATATCATCCACGTTTTTCGGGTTTTCCAGTCAATCAGTCGAATACAGCCCCCTCAGCCAATACTGTACCGTCGCTATAGAGTCACGAGCCAAAGTTTTCAATTTTCCGTTTTTTTTTTTTTTTTTTTCGAAAAAAAATAAAAATATTATAAATTACCCGATAAAGCGATAAATTTAAAAAAATTACATGTCATTTATATGGCTTTTTTTTTTTTTTAGAGCGTTTTTCGACGTATTTTGGTGCATTGAAATCCGGCCCCTAATTATTGTAATATTACGTTACGCGGTCGGGGGCCGGTCACCTACCATTGCTCGCAGGTTGAAACGTTGCACGACGATATTCTGCTTTTGAAATGCGAAAAGACCCGACACCGGAGAAACAATAGGCGCGCGGGTGTTTTCAACCCGAACAGTGTGCCGCAGAACCGATTGTCGCAGTGGCGGCGCGGCGCGACGAACCTTCGCCGCGGGTTTTGTCCTGTCCGCGAACCACGGGGCTGCGTCGCGGCGAAAACGGACGGTGACGGCGGTCGACTGCGGCGGGGGCAAAAACAACGAAACGCACATGAACTGGTTCACGCGGCGCGCGGACGTCGTCCGGGGAAGGAACGGGAGGTGGGGAAAAAAAACGGAAAAAGAAACAGAAATAGAAAAAAAAAAAAAAAAAAAAAAAAAAACAAACAAACAAACGATCGTCCCGACAGTAGGTGAAACGGGTCACTGTCGCGGCGGCGCGGACATCACCGCCGGTAAATCGCACGGCCGAGTGTTGCCGTTAATACGACGACGGTGTTTCGCGCGGTATTTTTTGTTGTTTTGGTCTTGTCGTGCCGGTCAACCCGCCGAACGTCGTCGCCGTGCGTCGGGCGCGAGAGTATTGCGGCCGTGAAATATTACGTCCCGGTACGGATTGCCGCGGCTCGCATGAACCGTACTACGGACTAACGGCCGCGCCGAACGGCCCGGAGACGCCGGGATCCGACCGCATCGTCTCTGCGGGACCGCGGGCGGCCAGATGGGCGGGCGGGTCGTCGGGCCGGGGCGAACACGATTATCGCTCGCACTGGCACGCGCGCACGTACGCGCGCCGACCCGCATACGCGCCGCACGTTCGCCGTGTACCTACGGATGCGTGACGCGCTCGTCTCCGCGTTTCGCGTTCGCGGCGCGCCGCCGGACTACGGTCCGTCAACGGGGCCGACGTACGATTTCGAGGAGCGGGGTCAGCTGTTTTCGTGTACACGCGCGCGTACGATGTATCGCGTGTAATAAATAATTTATAGGAACGCCGCGCGCCCGCCGCCCCGGTCCCTCCCGTGCGTCCCCTCGCGGGGGGCGGGGGGGGGCGGACGAGCACGCGGCGGCCCTCGAGTACCGTCCCGGACGGCGTCCGTCCGCCGCCGTTGTCGCGCGAACCGAATCCGATCGAGTGCGCGGAAACGGAAAAAAAAAATCAACTAACGGCTGGCGCGAGTACCGGGCGACTAGGTATCGTTTCGACTTCGAAACCGGTACAACGAACGGCGGTGACGTTTGCGTAAAGAGAAGTCCCGGAGGTCGCCCCGCACAAAGGCGGACTCGCGGTGAGCGGGGGGTAGGAGCGGGCGCGGAAGTAAGAACGGGTGGCGGGCGGCCGCGGAAGCAACGAAGTCCCCGGACGGGCTGTAAACGTTCAAGGCGAATAATACGGCGACGCGGAGACGAGTTCGCGATCGCAATTCCACGTTCTCAGACCGTAAGATCGCTCCCGGCTGTACGCTGTACGCAGTCTTTCGATGCCGCCAACTGAGTCCGTTCTAGAGCAAACGTCCGCGGTGCGACGGACTGCGCATACCTCACCGCGTTCGCAGTACGGCAATCCCGACACGCCCCGTTCGAAAAGTTCGCGGCCACGTTTGTTCTGCTCGGTTCTTACGTCGTAAATGGTCCGGAGAATCCACTCGGGAGCTCAGAGCCCGGGGACCGTCATTTCCGACGTGTCTACCGCAACGCGATTCCGCACCCTCGCCGGTTTCCAACGCTCTATTTTACGCTCCATATCACTGAGCTGAGTTGACATTTTCCAGACGGGGTATCTGGATTTCAGTCTCTTTGACGGGTGCCCGGCAATCTTTCGTATCGACCGCCCTTTCTTTCAGCCCCTGAACGGTCGCACGTCGAAAACTATACTACTCGCCGACGCACGTTTCCCGCAGACCCGGTTCATTTCGACAAAAACGCGTTTAAAAGCGTCCGCGTGTTTTAACCCGTCGCGTGCGCATCAGTCGCCGTCGTGTTTGCTGACGGGTCCCGGACGCGTAACAATAATACATTCGATTTAAGCAAACCGAACGGTCAAACAGCATTATTATAACGTTCGGGGAGGGAGGGGGACAAAATCCGGGACAAGATAACGGGGCGGGCGATTCCGACGGTTCGCGTACGACACGGGTCTTATGACGGAAATCAAGCTAAGAGTGTATAACGGAAAGCGGACGGGGAAGGATCGTCCTCCCTCCCCTCCGGGGATCCGCAACCGGTAATGCAGACACGGTATGACGTGAACCAACACACTTTTGTGTCCTGCGTTTCCGTTTACAAATACGCGGAACAAACGTTCCAGAAACGGTACGCAAACGGTCGAATTTAATATTACAGTGTCGACGTCGCGGTTTGCCGATGCCACGATGACAATAATGAAATTATCGTGTTAAGCGCGTTTCGTTTATAATATTGTTATTCGCGAAGAACCGTTAAGTCGCGGTACCCGCCTATAAATAATTTATTGAACGAACAACGATTGTATAACAGGTACACATTCGCGCCACTGATAACATATTATTTATAATATTTCGTTCGTATACAATGTACAATAATTGTACGGTAATTTCGGCAATACAATTATTGTATTACAATTGCTCCGGCGTAGTATATTCTTGTGTAGTCTT